GTTTGTGTTTACACGAAAATTAAAAAAAATTCAAAAGAGAAGATTCACATTCTTGATATATATATATATATTTTGTAACAACATGCAATAAGTGGGTTTGAATCCGGGTGGACAACAAGATATATAAAATTATTATTTCATTTAAAAGAAATATACACACTAAATGTTAACGAAAACGCAAAAAATAAATAAAGATAAATTTAAAAAAAATGTTACTTTTCAAGTGTCGTTTTATAAAAATGTCGTTTTACAAAAATGCCATATTTTTGAAATCTTTACAAAAATGCCATTTTTTCAAAATAATTTTTTTTTATATTATTTATGTTTGGGTTAATTATGTTCTATTACAGTTTAATTTTGAGTGTTTAGGGGGTTTTAGGTGTCAAAACATTTTTTAGGGTTTAGAATTTTAAGATATAGGCTTTATAAATCTATAATTAGTGGCATTTTTGTAAATAGACATTTCTAAATGACATTCTTGCAAATATGAACACAAAAAATGGTATTTTTGTAATTGGCCCAATAATAAACAAGGGAAGCCTTAGAGAGAGAAGACTTACCAGCGGCTGCAGCGCCAATAACATCGTCCCTGGAGTCGCCAAAGTTAAGAAGAAGCCTGGACGAGCAGAGTCAAAGTCTGAGAGGGACATGTTAATGGCGAGTAAGCTCAAGTTGGAGGCAGTCGTCCCGACATCAGTCACAACACCAACATTAATAACTTGTGTTGTCGTATTTTGTCCCTTCCCCAAATCCACGGCGAAGATAAAGGCGAGAAAGACTAAGACGAAGTCGTTGTGAATGAGATGCCTCTTCATTCTCTATTGTTTTTGTTTTTGGCTAAGTGCCGTGAAATAACGAAACCGTTGCGGTTTAATATACATGTTGGAAAATTATAAAAGTGCATTTATTAGACCTTGTGACTCCCAAGTTAATACCCCATCTGTTTATGAATTAGTGACATTTTAACCATAATCACCTAAATTAAAAAATAAGATTAAAATTCTTTTATACTTTTTAACTAACTATGTAATTACAATGATTTCTTTTAATTTATTTAGATATATATTTA